GGCATCGTAGTCGACATCATCAGTGAGCTTTGCCATTCTCCGCACCAAGATACGAACTCGTCAAAGAGACTTGTCTCTTGGTTCGGACTAGGTGCGTTCTACATGGTCGCCCTGAGAACAAGAGCAAGTTGCGACAAGAGGTCAACCCACTTCTATTAGGGAATTAAACTTCCCTTATCTTTCATTTATAAATAGACTTTCAAGAAAACCGGTAGAACCCATCGCATACATTAAAATTTTCTGTTTGGCGTCTTGTGTACCAGCAGCACAAGTGGACGTAAAATCTATCAGACTACTCGGGCACAATTTCTACAGGAATTTGTCTAGAAAGCTAGAATTTGTGCATGACCAAATACTCCAATGTGTCATTATTCCGTTTGCGTTTGCGCGTGCCTACTCGTCTGTATTACTCTTCACGACCTTGAGCCCGAAGGTAAGTGAACACTTGAGATCTGAAGCCAAACTGTTAGCCTACCTCAAGTTAGGGAGTCGGAATTGCCAATTCTTTCAACGATCTATAGACAACTGGTCCGAGCCCCTCTCCAGGCCTAGTTTCCAACTCCTTATCTTACTTGATGAGGCGAAATATGTCTATTGATACTGGCTTCATGAGGCAGTCGTATAGGCGGACTTGGACCCAGGAATTTGTTAGCCAATAGAGAAATGCATACAGTTGCCTCGACTGTGGAAGTGAGATCACCGGCGATGCCGACAAGAGCGCCAACAGCTTCTGACTTCAGTGGATATCCTATGCCAATGGGTATCGTAAGTATGAATGCAGAACCATAGCCTTATCCGTTGCCGAATCACATGCAAGGGGCCTGTGTGGCCAAACAAGACAAATGTGACCTGGTCTCCCAACTACGGACGGAGTGAATTTGAAAATAAGAAAAGGCCTCTTATTCCGTCCCTCCTCGTGTGTGTTTGCATGTGTGTCTGTGTGCTCATGACATTGTGTGAAAATAGGACGGCCTGCAAATATTTATTTGTACTCAGAGGCTTGTAAGTACTCAGAGTTGCCTCCAAAGCTAACTCGTGAGGCTTGCCTAAACAGTCATCTGGGCTCACTTCATGTCCATTTTGGCTGCTTCGTCGATAGGCCGAGTTGCAACAGGCCCCAATACCCTTACTTGAGTTGGCATTCCCAATTCTCGTCGATCCTGGCTGTATCTGGCATGCCCGATCATGTCAAAGGCAGTAGCATAGCCCTCGTTATTACGTCTCTTTGTGGCGATTAATCTTAAATCATCGAGCTGATCTCGCCACAAGTGCTCAAATCGCTCAATTGCACATGCCACACGACTCGTTCTTTTCATTAGCCCAACTTCCCCCATCCTTGAACTCACTTCCGACCTCGACCACCATGACCCCAGTTTAGTTGAAGACTTAAATTTGGTTCGGGTCAACCCTTTAATCACAAGGCTTTGTCTGAAGAGGACCCCGGCAAACCAAGCTCGATTGTCTGCCGGCATTCACGTACACACGTGTA